CCCCAACCATTCATCCTTTTTTCATCCATCATATGTCCATCCATTTTCCTACTCTGATAACTGTTTGGGGTTGAGTTTGGTTTTGTTTTTAAAGGGCTTCCCTTTTTTTTCCCTCCCTGTACCACTGCTCTCCCAGAACTCCATGTTAACTGAGGTATCTGTCTGTCCGGTGATTCCCTGCACTAAGGCTTCCTATAGTCTCAGGACTGAATGCTACAGGTGCAGCAAAAGGGGCTGTGGACTTGCCATATAGTTTCTCTATTTCTTATTCTAAAGGTGGGTGCAATCCTTATCTTAAAGAATTTTACAGTTTAAGGAACTGCTGTCTTCTGAGAGCAAGATATAGAATAACAACGTGCTGATAAATATGGCACATGGTCTTAATCTACTGTGGATTTATTAAAGTACAGATGGTGTACTTTCTGAGTTCCTAGAATTACCATAAGAAGTATGTGGTCCTCAAGCTGTTTGTATATGATTTAAAAAAAAACCCTGTTTTTCAGATTTTGGCCAGTGAGGTTGGCTTTGAGAACATCTAAACTCTAAAGGAAATGCAGCAGAAATTTTCCTGTTTCATCAGTTTTATGAGTTCAAGCCAACAGGATATTACATGGTTTCCACTTCAAGTTCTCACCTAGCTTAAGAGTTTGCAAAATTATTTGAATGTAGCCTGATATCTGCGCTGTTAGGCAAGTTATCTGATTTCACTGCAGAATTTTTAGTGCAGTTCTAAGTATTGAACAAAGACTGTCATCCACTAGGTCAGGTAAATTCATTTAGTGATAAATGTTGCCTACCATAATTGTCCTAAGTGATCAGAAATCTGATCTGAGTCTAATGTCTGCACAACTCTGCGATGAATAATGCAGAAGTCTGGACTGCCCCTTGCACACCCCTTTTATCTGAATGCAAAAATCTTTCACTCATGTGAAGCAGAGGCCACTCTGATGGTGAAACAGAAATTCAGAAATGTAACTTTTACTAGAATAAGTCATTATTTTGCATGTCTTGCAAATAAATTGTTTTATTTTTGTATCTTTTTGCACCATATAAAGAGTGTTGAGTAAATTTTGTGTGGAAAAAGCCACAGAAGAAGCATTTTGGTGATCTATCTTGTGCCTGCAATTTGGATTAAAATTTGTGTCTGGTTTTCCCCACAGTTGTGCCATTTTCACCAATCTTTACATGTGTCATGGAAAGGGAAGGGAAGACTCCTTATTCCTTTTTTCTCCCCTTGACGGCTGTAAAAGTGATTGTCAGGATTTAATGACAAAACAGAACAGGGATTTATTTTGCTCATTCTTTTTTATCTGACTTCTTCCTTTTTTGAATTTTTCAAGTCTTGAAAATGTGCACATAAAAAGCCATTATGTATTAAAAAACGAGGCGACTTAGAATCATAGAATCATTTGGGTTGGAAAAGACCTTTAAGATCATCGAGTCCAGCCGTAAACTTGCTTCAGTTGATCTTAGTGCTATGAATGTAAAAAGACTAAAAGTCTGTTGAGTAAAGCTTGTATTTGGTTGAGAGAATATTTATTCACTGCCCCACTGATCTCAGGACATAAATTAATAGGAAGCTGTAAGGACTTCCTATTAAGTAATGATTCTCTGCACAGAGTTGAAACCTACTTGTGAAAGAATGTTGGTTCTCTGACGATTCCTGTAAATGCACCCCTCAGCAAGCTGATCAAACCTAATGGCCCGACTTGGTTTTCCTGGCAGGCTTCGTGTGTTAAAGAAGGTCTCCTCTGTCCAGCTGTGGCTCAGAAGGGCTGGGGCCACTTCTCAAATCAGCATCCAGCATCTTGATTTGTAGTTGTAATGAAAGACTTATTTGCAGCAGTAACATGCACTTGGCTTATGATATCAGTAGTTCTTTTTTTAAGTTGCTGTTTATACAGCAAAGATTTGCCTGTAGCCATTTCTCTTACTTTAAGCTGCAGCTGCAGAAGAATCATTTGAGCTTACTGAGTTAAAGAAGCAAGAGAGAGGAAACATGATTTAGTGCTAACTAAATTTGTTTGGGAACTGGTGTTGGGTTCTTTTGTGAAAGGGCCCGCCTGGTTCTTTGGTGTAGACAGAACCATTCAGACCAAGCTGCAATAAACCTGTGTGCGTGAATGGTGTAGGTAGAATATTTGCTGGCCCTTACTATGTAAGATTGCTAAGTTGTGTGCTTGATCCTCTTAACTGTGTGCTCTGAGAGCCTTCTGCCCTCGCATTTGTATGTTGCTCCTTGAAAATGGATTAGATAAGGAGCTGTATGCAAAATCAGCCAAGGAGCTCTCAGTAGGTAGTGCCAGCTGTTACTATGTCTTAAAGTCACTGCAGAACTGAAAGGACAGGGGTTTATGTTGTATTGTCTTACCATTGCCCTCAACAAGAGGCATGCAGACTGCATACTTCCTTAGGGGCACTGGGTGTATACTGGGAAGAAGTTTCTCATGGTGGAAAGAAAGGGGGAGAGATGATCTCTCTCCTCTGCAGCCTACATCCTGGGTGAATTGCTCTTATGGAGTGACTGATTCACTAGAAAATTCATGGGCAATGGAAAGAGAAGGAAAGGCGATTTGTTCCTTCTCCTCCCCTGTCATAGCTATGAACATGCCAGTCAGTTCAAAATAAACAAGCATTTATTCTGCTCTTTCTTCTTCAGCCAGACTTCTTCTCATTTGAATTGTTTAAGATTTTAATTGTTTAAGAAGAGAGGGCTCAGGGGGGACCTTATCAATGTATATACATACCTCAAGGGAGGGTGTAAAGACGATGGAGCCAGGCTCTTCTCAGTGGTGCCCAGTGACAGGATCGGAGGCAATGGGCACCAGCTGAAACACAGGAGGTTCCCTCTGAACATCAGGAAACGCTTTTTCACTGTGAGGGTGACTGAGCACTGGCACAGGTTGTCCAGGGAGGTTGTGGAGTCTCCACCCTTGGAGATACTCAAAAGCCGTCTGGACATGGTCCTGGGCAACTGGCTCTAGGTGGCCCTGCCTGAGCAGGGGGTTGGACCAGATGACCTCCAGAGGTGCCTGCCAACTTCAGCCACTCTGTGATTCTGTGACTTGAAATGGCATCTTTCCCAAGTAAGAGCTTCAAAATCAGCTTGTCAGAAATCTTGTTGATAAGCAGTCTCCATGTTTTAACAGGTAAAGGCAATGGAGTTTTGGTCCTTGTTAGTAAAGGAATGATGGTTCAGAAGCAGAGCGCATTGTGTACAAAGCAGGAAGACCCTTTCTTTTTGTGTATGAGTGCCTCTGTACAGAGATGGCATGGTTGTTCTGTGTTTCTAAGAACAGCATGGGTTCTATTCACTGTGGCAGCTCACACCCAGGAGTGAATGACACGGCATGTGTCTTCTGTATTTCTAGTTCTGGTTTGGACAAATAGGTTGCAGTGTCCAAGTGCTCCGTAAGTAGTGAATCAGTGGAAAGAACCCAAAAGGAACGGGATCAGGGGGAGAGGGGAAGATGATGAGGAGCAAGGAAAATAAAAATGCCGGATGAAAAAACTTCATGATAAATGACAATACACACAGCAAGAAGGTTGATGACAGAAGAGGGTGATTGTATGAGATTGAACCTAGATACAGGGTGAACTGAGGTGAATGGAATAAGACCTTGGTATCTCAGCCATTTACTAATTTACAGCTCAATCTTCTACCAGGACTGCCAGAGCAAGAGGACCGCACAGGAGTTTGGTAAAAATAAGACAACAGGAATTAAAGATCACTGTCTGGCATTTGCCTTGGTTTCTTTTACAAATATTTATTCTCACTGTGTAAATAAAGAATAAACAAGGGAGGAAGTACTAAGCTCAAGTCAATAAATTAAGGTCCAAGTAAAAAGATCCACTGTGGTGTTTCCTGTACATATTATATTGGCTCTGAATATTGCATTTCATCAACAACTTTAGGAGATCACATCTGCTAAATATTTTATTGGTGAATATTCTAAATATCTTCAAAACATAATGTTCAAGAGGCTTCCCATTTCAATTCTTCTTTTTTTAAATTACATTTTCTGATTACAGTGTAAAATAGAAAATATAATTCAGACTATGAAATGGGGTTACTTTAAAGAATCAAATAATTTAGTCACTAGCAGAAAACTCTCCTTTTAAACAAGAGCTTCACAGTAGAAGTCAATAAGATTTCGTTGGTAATGTTTTCAGCTAAATCAACCGTTATTAATCTTATTGTCATAGCAAAGTAAATGTGACAGCATTGTCAGAATATGTTCTCTCTTTTAAAGTTTGTTGCTTTTTCTCCCCCTCCCCCTGCCCCTCCCTTAAACAGAACAACTGTTAATAAAAATGGAACTTACCAGTTGGAACAGGCTTCAAAATGTAAGGCAATTCAGGACAACATTTTGTCATCATCTATCAAGAAGAAAAGGTAGGTGTTTGCTGTGCTTTCTGCTTTATTTATTTTAAATAGAAGGGTAAAAGATTGACCCTTTTACATAATTCTCGATGATATTAATGTGGAGCTATACAACAGGAAACTGAAATTGTTCAACCAATGTTTGTCTGCATTTTTTCTTTCACATGCATTAGATTTATTCGAGGTTGGATTTTTTTTTTTTTTATTATTTTCACAGTATATGTGAACAAGATTTCTCCTTGCCAGTTAGTACCATTTTATTCCAAGATATTCACAGGAAGGTAGAACAGAATCCGTGAGGTATAATTTCATTCTTGAGTGTCTTTTTCCTGATTGGTGAACACTCCTGCTATGAGCAACCTCAGTTAATGGATTCTTTTCAGCATATTCACTAGAGTAAGTATAGAAATGCACTAGTATAAAAACTTGCTAAGTAATTGTACTCATTATAACTACTCCACAGGAAACTAATTATTCAATTTTAGATACATTGAAAAAACACCCCAAATTAATTTTGGGTTTCAACTTGCTGTTCTGCCTTTTCCTGACATGGAAAAAAATACTTGATACCAGCCCTGCTCAAATTCCTTGCCACTCACTAAAGTGAAGATGGGAGGAGCTCCCCATTGCTTTTTTGTAACATTTTGCCTATATGGATGCGCCAATAAATAAAACATTGTAAATAAGAAAGGCTTCCCATTAGGACCGAATTCCAGCTTAAAATTAATTATGTGCCATGGTGTCTTTAGAATTGGAAGCTTCCCCCCCCTCCATTTGTGAAAAGAAGAGAAATGGAATGAAAAACAAAAGCTCTACTAAAAATAATTATGTGCATTTCCCCATTCAAAGGACTGGAGAAGTCAAATTTTTCCTTAACACAGAAACAACGTTAAATCATGATTTTAAAACTTCTCCTGTCTTTTCTGCCTCCTCCTTACTTTCTCATTGTGTTTTGAGATCTTTCACCTATTTTTAATTCACCATATTGCCAACATTCTGTCTTTACTCTTTTAATTCTTCCTTTTTTTTTTCTCTGCTATAACCTCTTCTCCCATCAATATTCCACCTCATCAGCAATGCTACCACTGAAGTTTTTACTCTTTTGAAAGGTGGTAGACCACTATCTTACTGATGCGCTGCTAGTGAGAGCTGAAACAGAGATTGGCAAACAGAGGTCAAAGAGTTGACTGAAGAATTGAGTGATTAACACCAAGAGAAGGAGAAGCAGTTGCCGAATTGCCTCCAAAATCCAGTTAGAGCAATATAAATGCTGTTATTTATCCCATGTGTTACAAAGTTATACAGGCTGCTGGAATGCGGACGTGCTTTTCATACCTAGAACATTTTGGAGCTGAGCTTGTAGGAGAAGCTTTAGGAATTGTGAGACGTTTATTCTGTGGCTAAAGAGAAAGGAGCTGCACCATTTAACGAGGCAGAAGATGAACTGGGCAGGTAGGAAGAGAAACTGATGCTTGCAACAAAGAAGCAAGGGATTGCTTTGTGCCATGAATGTTGCAACTCATTGCCCTTCACTGAGAGAAGCTGCAGGGATCTTTGTTGCTTTTTTCAAGGTGTGACCCACAGGCAAGATATATAAATGCTTTATATTGCAGTTCTAGACTTTCAGGGACGTTCTGGACACTCTTGCCTCTTAAGTTGACAGAAAGGGAAAAACATTACTAGTTTAAAGCTTGTCAAATGATTTGATAGTAAAAAATGCTATGTAAGTGGGAAGTTATTATTATAGCAGGTATGTGCTGGTGGTGATAAAGAGCCTGAAATGCTGAGTTTTGCTGGCAGTTCTCCATTTTTATTCTAGAGCAAGCCCTGTGCACACTCTCCTGAGGACTTAAAAAACTGATAGGTTTTTTGGTGGTATTAAAGCGTCCAAAGGCAAAAGGGATCCTCCTTTTCTCTTGCATTTCCAGCTGTTGTTTCTCTTTTTATTTGTTCCTTTCTTGAACATTATCTGCCAAGTAGGAATATCTT